TGTGCTGACTTTAGGTGGCAGGTCGGACCTGTTCTGGGGTTTAGGGGAAGTTTCCCTGCTGCCCTCTGGCAGATTCACTCTGAGCTGTGCTTGTGGGGTTTTTTTTGTTTTGTTTTGTTTTGCTTTGTTTTGTTTTGTTTTCCAGAGATCAAACCCCGGCTGCATCAGGCAAGTGTGTGTGTTTCTACAGAGTGACACTCAGAGCCCAGAGGTTTGTGGTGTTGTTTTTCATGGCAAAGCTCCATAGCAGAGTCCTGTAAGGTTAAGGGGCTCAGGGCAGTGGTATCTGAGCTTCAAGGGCAGCAGATGTTGGGGGTGGGGGTTGCAGGCTGTGCAGGGGTTCTAACCTACCCTGAGATACCTAGCAGGCCATTGACTGCAGACTCCTAAGGGTTCCTGCAGGGTCCAGTGGACTTCTCTGGAGGGTTGGTCACAGTTTCCAGTCACAGTTTCAGAGGCTAGTAAACCACTCTGCACAGTACGTGGAGTAACTGAGTACAGAGAAGGGAGATGCCAGGACGGAGGCTCCTCTTGCTTCAGCGTCTCCCTAGCTCTGCTTCCCTGGCCTCCGGCCTGCACTTCGCAGATCCTGCAGGCTTGAGTCTGCAGGCTGTACGGCAGGGCTAGCATCACCACTCAGGAGGGAGAAGAGAGGCTCATTGAGCAGCATCTCTGTGTTTGACTCACAGATGCACAACTAAAGATGGCATGGGGTCAGTCAAATGTTTGTGCCTGGTCCTGGGGCACTAAGAAATCCTCCCAGGTCTGTTATCCATGGACGGGAGGAGAAGGCACAAGATTGGCACACATGTGCTCTGGATTTCTGGTCTTCTGTGTCACTGGTATGGCTCAGGAAATATTGTTCACGGCTTGAGATTTTCTGGCCAGAGTTACTGTGTTTTGTCCCTTTGAAGTCACTGGTTCACATTTTTAATGTAATTTCTTATACAGCTGCTTAATCAGAGCGGGTTAGACAGTTTACTGTGACATAGCGGGTCTCGGAGACTATGACTGCAATGTGCTTTATAACTTGATTTGTTATTATTACGTGTGTGATGCAGATGTTAGGGTATGCACATGCCATAACACATATGTGAAGGTTACTGAACAACTTTGTGGAGCCAGCCCTCTCCTTCCACTTGCATGCGAGTCCCAGGGGTCGGACGCAGGTTCTCAGGCTTGCAGGGCAAAGTACCCTTATCCCCTGAGCTACCTTGCAAGCCTTGTAATCTTGTTTTTCATTACAGAAATAGTAAGCCCACACCACAGAAATAAACAAAGGATACAGAGAAGCAAAAGCCCACAGATAAAAGGCTGGGGCTCCTAGGACGGTGGTGCTGAGGTGTGGAGTCAGGCTGAGGTGGAGCCCTGGCCACGTTAATATCTCAGTTAGTAACTGCTCTAGTGTACACTCTCTGCTGCTGTGTGGCACATAAGCAACAGCAGCCTGGGAGAGGGGAGGGCTTATTTCAGCTTGCAGCTTACTGTCCATCATCGAGGGAGTATCATGGCAGGAGCTGAAGCTGGGCAGGAGGCCGCTCTCTGGCTTGCTCCAACTCGAACTTAACTAGCTTTCTTACATAGCCCAGGACGAGCTGGCCCGGGGATGGCACAGTGGCCTGGGCCCTCCCACATCAATTAACAATCAAGAAAGTGCCCCACAGACTTGCCCGTAGGTCAGTCCAATGGAGGGAATTCTTCGGTTGAGGTCCCCTCTTCCCAGCTGTGTCAAGTTGACAGCCAAGACTGCCTACAGCATTGAGCATGGCAACTCAGTGTCTCCAAGCCTCGGTTTCTTTATCCTTAAAAACAAGTTTGAGGCAGTGGGGTGGGAAATGGCCCACCCAGTTCATAAAATGCCCGCTGTGCAAGCATGGTGGCCTGAGTCTGAGATCCACAGCTCACATTAAAACAAAACAACTGGGTGGGGCTGTCAGACCATGAGGTGCTGGGCAGACAGAGTCAGGAGGACCTCAGGGATGGTTTGCTGGATTCTTGCTGAATCTGTAAGCCAGGTTCAGGGAGGGACCCTGACTCACAAAACAGGGAGGAGAGTGACCGAGAGAGACACCTCTGGACTCCACACACATGTGCATACGTATGTATACACGCCAACACAGGTAAGGTGGGAGAAGAAAGTAGTGTGATACCTCTTCACCTGCTGTGTGGACTGTAATAGCATATGCAAAGTCCTCAGCATTGTGAATACAATGTCAACGTCCAATCCAGGAGGGCACTGTGGGTCGGCACAGGGTGGCCAGGGAAGGGCCCCTTCCCTTAGCTAGGGCCTCAGCAGAATGGAGGGCTTCAGGGTCTGCACGCGCCTGGCTGTGTAGGCTGAGACTCTGAGGACTTTGAATGACAGCTGTGGGCAAGCCCAAGAAGTGAGAACAGGGCCCCTTTGGGCTGTCTCCCCACTGAAGAAAGTGTGTTCCCTAGGCAGCTCGGAGCTGGCTGTTTTCTCTGATGTTTCTTGGTTTTCTGCGAGGTCTGGGAATGGTCCTGGGAGTGACACTTGGAGAAAATGTGAGAGGGGGGTCTGGGGTGTGTGTCAGGGAACGTCACCACGGTTCCTTCTGAGACCAGGACTTTCTGTCTGGTGGCATTTGTCTTCCAAGAGAACCAACTTCTGCCTTCTAAGGTGAGAAGGCAGCTACACTCATATCCCAAGGGGGAAGCACTAACCACTTGAAAGTTCAGTGGAGGCTGTGGGAACCAGACTTCACACAGGTGAAGGCAGGATACTCCTGTATTTGGGAGTTTCAGGATGCGGCACTTGTCTTTGCTTGGGGATTCCCTGACCCGAGATGTGGCGTAGCCGGAAGTCAGTGTGATAGAAAGCGACCCCCATAAATCATTCTCAGGAGCTTGCCTCCCAGTGAAGCAAACCTTCACTTGGTGGTGCCCATCAATTTCCCTGGCATTTCCAGCTTTTCCAGGCAAAACAGATTAGTCACAACCACCACCACCCCACACCAACCTGGGCCTGTTTATATGCTTTGGAATAAAGCACAGAGAAAATAAAACAGGTCCAGCTCACCCAGCGAGGCTGGTTGGAGAACCAGCAGGAGAAATATTGAGATTGGCTGGAAGTCTGGTAGGCCACTTGCATCATGCCCCGGGGGCTGGTTTCGGGACGTCAGCCCTTTGCTCAGTGGTGTACGGCGTGACGTCTGCTAAGCTTGTGCTTATTCTGGTGCTGCTCTCTGGTTCCGGAATAATCCTGCTCATCTCGGTCTAATGTTCATTTTCGTCCAAACTGCTAGTTCCTCCATTAGCCCAACAGAAGCCTTGGGATATGCTCAGAGCCAGTGTTTCCACACAGATGGTGTTCTAAGAGGCAGGACTGCGCCCCCGGAGAAATGGCTGCACTATGACACAGGCCTGGGTTGGGGTTTCAGAACTTTAAGGTACACATCGCTCAGATTATAGAAGAGAAAAAAGAGTTTCAGGGTAAAGTGACATTTTCAGGTAATGGACTAATTAGACACTGAAACCAGGGCCAGGCCTCGGGGATCCTTGCTCCTTGAGACATCCTTTCCTGACCCTCGGGTTTTGCATTCTTAGATCTCAGACCGGTCCGGTAGCTGAGAGGTGGCTTCCCGTTACCTTTCTGGGCTGAAAGTGTCGTCCAGAAAGCCACATACTTACATTGCTCAGTCAGCAAAGTGCTTGCCACTGAAGCGTGAATGTGCGATTGACCCCCAGAACTCACATTAAACAACGGGACATGGTGGCATATGTTTGTAATCCCAGTGTTGGGGAGGGGACACGGGGTTTTTGGAACTCACTGACAACCAGCCTAGCCCAATCTATGAGCCCCAGGTCCTGTGAGAGACACCCTAAAAAAAGTGACTGGCCCCTGAAGAATAACATCTGAGGTTGTCCCCTGGCTTCCACACAAACATGACCGTGCACACACATCTCTTAATTTTAAATAAGTTCCCAAAGTTGTCTTGGGCCACATTTGTAGATATCTTTGATCTCATGCAGCTCATGGGTGGCTTGTTAGGCGTGCCTTTGGGCCTAGAGAGTTGTTTGAAAGGTCCCAGGACTTGTTCTAAGCAGGTATCCTGGGACACTCAGACCCAGGAAAGCTGTTCTGAGGACACAGATGTACTGTCTCACAGACCCCTGAAAACAAGAGGCAGAGCCTACATGCAGGACCACTCGGGAAAGTGTCATCCTTGGTCAGGAGGCAGAGTGGGCCAGGGAAAGTGGTGGCAGGGGCTTTAGCTGAGCCTCTGGCGGAGGAGGGGGTCAGAGGAGGCAGGCTCAGGATCCTCCGATTTGAACAGTTGCAGTGAGCAGCTCTGGGCTGATCAGGGCAGGGCACAGTGACCCAGAGTGTGACAGGGGGTGAGGGGAGAAGGAGCTCTAGAAGGCTTGTTTGTAAAGGGGTGGTAAGCACCCAGGTGAGTCATTTTCTTTCTCTAGGAATTTGCTACCCAACATGTAGTAACAGAGGCTATGGCTAGCAGTGCATCAGAAGTCAGGCAACCAAAGGCAAGGGAGATGCAGGCAGGCCCGTGTCTCCTGCAGGGGGCAGGGGATTGCAGGTTGTGTGACTGGAGTTGGGGGATGTAGATGGATGAGGGTTTCACTAGCAGAGCATCTTTAAAGGCTAGAACTGTCGTTCTTGCAAGAGCGGAAGGCTGCACGCTCTGTTCTCCAAGGACAAGCATCTCCCTGGGAGTCCTGATTTAGCCAGATTGCAGAAGGCACCTGCTGTTTTCCGCTGAACTTTGCCTGAAGTTCTGTGAGGACAAGATGAGGGGTTGTGCTGGCAGAAGGACCTCACAGACCTCAGCTGTTGCATTCCAGGCCTGGGTTGCTTCCTCTATCCATCCCGCTGCCTGTACAGCCGTGGCTCAGCTCTGCCCTCCCTCCCGCTGGCTGCCTGTGTGGTACGGTTACCTCCTCAGCAGGCAATCCCCGACACAGGTGGTAATGACAGCCCGCTGCAGTCCTGACAGACAGCGAGGGTATCTGCCTGAGCTCTGCCATCATCTCAAGCAGCAAAGCAGCTCTAACCAACAGAACTGTCGCCCGTGCTGTCTCAGGCCAGCTCATGCTGTCTGCCAGCTGCTTGTTGCGCTGCTCTGGGGACTGGGAACACGCCCAGCCCCAGTCCCCATCTGTTGCAGGCGTGAAGCAGCGGCTCCTGAGAGCATCCGAACCTTAGAAATCGCCTGGGCTGAGACGGTCAGGAAACCCCTTCTTGGACTGGCCTTTGGAAGGTGAGAGCAGGATTTGTCAGAGCTGAGAGGGCAGCTTGTCAGCCGCTACTCACCCCACCAGCCAGCATCTCCCAGCCCAGCATCCGGAAGAGGAGACCTTGGGACCCCTCCGGGCTGAGTAAGCAGACCTTCTTGGCTGGCTTCCTAAATGCATGGTGGTTGCACGTTCTCCGTGTGCCCATGTTTTTTTTTTTTTTTTTTCTCCTGTGGTGCCTCTTGTCGCCTCTGTATGCAAGACTGTTGGCTGGTGCTTTGTTCTCCCAGAGGCTCTTATTCAATTAAACACCCCAAGGCTGAACAAAATGCTCCTTCGCTCCGCAGGAACTGTATGTCTGCTTCTTATGTAACTTTTGTCCGTGACTTAAAGAGAATACCTTAGAAGGTGGGATGTGTGAGGGGGCGTGTTCACTGTTCCTCTACAGAGACTGTCCCCATCTCTGCCAGGCTGGGAAAGGGAGAGAAGACTGGGCTGTCTACAAAGGGTTCTGAGTCTTCTCCCCCTTCTTCCCCTCCGTAAAGTTCCCTCCCGAGGCCGAATCTCTTAGCGCAGTGGACACTCCTCTACCATCGCTTCCCCTTCTGAGTCATTCATTCAGTCTGACCCAAATGGTAGAGACTAAGGGACAAGTATAGGGGGATTCTGAGTCTGGTCCATGTTGTCCCCCGGGGCTGTCCAGACCACAGATACATTGGAGAGTTGGCCGGTCCCCTGCTGGAAGATGGGACTTGCTTGCTGCCTGTCTGCCTTGAGGAGGAAGATACTGAATAAACCAAAGTGGCTGGGGAAGGCCAAGGGAGGGCAAGCAGAGAAGGTGGAAGCCCTTCACTCTGCAGCAGGAACAGAGCAGAAAGGACTGACCAGCTGAGCTGAGACTGGCAAAGGCTAGGCCTGAAGCTCAGGTGCCCTGCCCCAGCCACCCTGCTCTGAAACTGGTGCTTAGCAGTTACAGCGAGCCGCTACTGTCTTGTCTGGGTTTTTGTTTGTTGCTTATGATTCCCTTCCACATGCCAGACCAGTTGGGCCCAAAGAAAACTCCAGCGTAGAAATCTGTGACTCTCCCCTGACCCCGTCCCTACTCCTTATGCCCTGTGATTAGGAGCAAGCCACTGGGTGCCAAAGGAGGGTGTGAGGCTCAATGCTATTTCTAAGTCATAACCCAAAGTGGGCAAGAAAAGATGGCATTACATAACTCGAGAGTGGTGAGCCAATAGCACATCTAGCCCAGCGCACAGCTAAGTGCAGACTTCTGGAGGGGCCTGGGCCCAGCAAGCAGCATCAGACCTAGAATCACACAAGAAGGCCAGAGGCTCCCAAAGAGCACAAGGTCCCCAAACACAGACAGAAGAGGATTTCAGATGTCATAATCATGTGGGGGGCTCCAGAGCAGGGTTTAGTCAGCGGCTGTCATAGACAGATGCCAGTGATAGTGGTACCCAGGGTCCACAGCCCCTTTCCTGACCCCGAATAGAGGCTTGGCCATGTGGCATCATAGGTCTAGAGCTCCTCATCTTTCAGGATGCTCTCCAGTGTGCATGGGAAGTGTTCAAGGACTGGTTAAATAAATCTGAGGCGTGTTTTGGTTGGTTTCCATTTGGATATTGAAGTATTTTAGCCCAGGCCTTGTGGCAGGTACAGACTCACAGGACAGGAAATCGAAGTTAGAAAGTCAAATTCCCCAGTGACCTGATAGAGAATCCAGGATAGGGAGGGTCCTTTTGTTTTTCCTAAAGTCATGAAAAGACTGAACTCCAAGAGAAGCCGGGTGTTCAGAGGCTACAGGGAGTGGTGGGAGGAACAGCGGGGCTAAGGATAGGCGCTAGTGGACTGGGCTTTGTCACCAGCTTCCGTGCTTGGCTTCTCACTGGATGCTGTCCCAGGATGCTGTCAATATCAGTGCTTCAGTGGAAGAAACAAAGTCCTGAGCCCTGTGGACCTGGCATTCAGAGAACGAGATGTTTGACCTTATCCGCCAATGGTATTGTCTGGTGTTTTTGGGTTCTCTGAATTTTCATAACTCTTATTTGTTTGCTTGTTTTTTTACATGTGTATGCATGTATATGCCATGGTGTGCATGTGGTCAGAGGGCAACCTGGGGGAGTCTGTTCTTTTCCTGTTATATTGTTTCCTAGGATGGAACTAACGTCATCAGGATTATCAGCAAGTACCTCTGCCTGCTGAGCCACCTACATTTAGGTTTTTATTTCTGTCTGAGGATTTCTGAGTCCCTTCTCATATATCAATATATCAGTGTAGAGAGCCATCTTGCCCAGCTCCTTCTAGCAAAGCCTCCCATCACCCCGACTCCTAACCTGTATCTGTACCACTGCTCCACATTTTCTTCTGTGCATTACTGAGTTGCATTCTGCTGGTTCTTACAGGTCAATTCCATTGATGACTCCCAGCAATCAGCTGAGGTCTTAATTCCTTCCCATCAGGGCTCATCTCACATTTACCAACCACACACCACGTACCAGCTCCAGGCTTGATCCTGAGAGGTTTTCCTGCCTTCCACATGGGAATCGAGGCCCCATGAACTTGTACAAGCTGCTGAGATTGTACAGGCAGCACGTGGGAACTGGAGCTGACACCTAGGCCCTCCACTGGCTTAGAAGCAGTGTCTGGTCTTTCCCGCTTCACTGAACAAGACCTGACAGTGGATTGCTTGCAGGGAAAGTGTTCCCTTGCCTCTCATTGTGACTTGACAGAGAACTTGACTAAGACAGCATGATGCTTGGTTGAAGGTCTATGTTTCTGCTTCCGCAGCCCCAAAGTGAGGGTAGGCTTGTCCCCAATTCTTGACAATTTGACACCAGGGCAGGAGAGTGTTGGCACATAAACCATGAAGTCAGTGTGCCTTCCGGCCAGTCATGTGTGACTCTGGATAAATATCCTTGTTACAAGCATGACTCTAAAGGGGTTACGTGGATCCATGGGCTCTTATCTTAATTACAAAAAATTGTGTTTAAATTATGATTGAAGTGATGTGAGTTCCTGCAATCCCAGCACTTGGGAGGCAGAGGCAGGAGGAGAAGAAAGTCATTTTTAGCTACAAAGTGAGTTTGAAGCCAGGCTGGGCTATGTGACGCACTGAGAGATGACTGAGCATCAGTTAAGAGCACTTGTACGGAGTCTGGACTCAGTGCCCAGCACCCATATCTGGTGGGTCGCAACCTCCTGGAACTCCAGCTCCAGGGAACCTGACACCCTCTGGCCTCTGCGGGCACCGGCACACGTGTGCATGTGCCACACTTAGGTACATACACACACACTAATCAAAACGTTTGAGAAAGAGAAGGAGGAGTGAAGACCGAAGGCAGGCATGGTAGCATATAGTCTGGGATCCCAGCCCTGACGAGGCAGCCAGTCTCGCTATAGAGACTTACAGACCAGTCTGTGCTGCATAGCAAGACTTGAAAGCTAGTCAGCCAGCAAACGTACAATTGAGTCATTAGCCCCAGTGCTGTTCCCTTGTGACCCCCTCCCCACAATTTTTGCCATGACCCTGTTCTGTCAAGTAACCGGGGACTGTGTACAAATTGTCTGTCAAGTAGCTGGGGACTGTGTATAAATTATCTCACTTTCTTGAGTCATTTTTTTTTTCTTCTAGAAATGCGTGTCTGTTTCAGGGTTGGTGTGGAGTAGACCATCAGTTAACTAAGAACCGGTTCCAGGCACACAGTAGGCATTTAACAAACAGTGGGCTCTTCTATCTAAGGAAGTATTCAGTTGTGTGCCTCCTCGGAGCCACACAGAGCCCTGTAGAAACCCCTTCTTCAGGGCTGTGAGTGACCTGTTTTCTGCCACAGCCCCGGGTTCTACCACTGCAGTTAGCCAGAAGACAACCAAGGTTGAAAAGCTTTGGGGTCCTGTGGTTTCCTAGCTGTTATTCACTGTCCTTGCCGACAGCCAAGTCCCTTTCCCTCCTCCTGTCCTGCCTGTCATTCACTGGTGAGCTTCCTCCCTTTGGCCCTGGGGTTTCACGTCACTCTGCTGCCATGCCCTTCCCCCGAAGGTCATAGTTGTGTCGTGATATTTCTAGCATCGTCAGATCCCCTTCTCCATCTCCTCTCACGCTGCTCCAAGCTATAGCCCAGGGGACACAGGGAGAAAATGGGAGGAAATCAAAGCCAGACTCAGATTTTGTTTTGATTGTACTTTGCCGGCGAGCCGAGGTGTGTGGTGGCATTTATTGTCTGTCTGCTTTTAAGGGAGGCAGCGCTCTGCCAGTAGTCATGGCTTCCGCTAGTTAGTCACCGGTGAGTGAGGGCCTGCTGAGCTCATTGCAGTAAATAGAATAAAGGAGACAGGAACAGGGCCATCCATGGTCTGCAGTGCTGTTTTCCAGACACCTACTAGGGATCCCAGCAGTCCCAGTGGGGATCTCTGGGCCGTGGAGGGTTGGGGACCATGGGTCCTTATACCCCCTTAACCACCTATCCTTTTCTTCCTTTTCTTGTGGATTGAACCTAAGGCTTCACGAGTGCTAGACAAGTTCTCTGACACTGAGCTAGATTCCCCTATCTAGCTCACTGAGGAGCTCACTGAGTTGCCTAAGATGGCCTTAAATTTATGATCCTCCTGCCTTAGCTTCCTGAGTAGCTGGAGTTATAAGCCTGGACCACCAGACCAGGTTTTCCTTTCTGTTTCTGGTCAATGACTCCTGAACGCTGAGGGCTCCTAGAATTGCATTTCACCGCTTTGGTGGGAGAGAAGCACTCTTAGACTTGGGGGAGCTAAGGAGGTGTGAAGCCTCAACCCTCAGGACAACACGGGCCTTTTGCTTTTCCAGCGGGTAAAAAGCGGACCTTGCTGCAGGCTGTCTGTGCTGTGAACTGTGCTGACAGCTCACACATGGGATCATGTGCTTAGACTGGACATGAAATGGGGATGTAAACCTGCCAGACTGCGGTATGCTCAGATTTCCTGGAGATGCCGAGGTGGACACATCCCCGAGTGGGATGACTTGTGTTCAGGAAAAGATAAAAGGACAAAATGTTGTTGCATAGTTTAGGGACAAGAAGTGTGGGGCTATGTTCCTCTTTCAGTCAGGGAAAGCTCTGCCCTGCTTGGCTCCTCTTGGGAGCTCTGGTACTTTCTACAAAGCGCAGCCATAGACC